CTGCTTGCTGGCACCTCAAAGGGGAGGGTCAATGTGTGTGCATGTGTGATATATGTGTCTCTGTGTCATTAGTGGGTAAGTGAGTGACCAAATGCAAACAGTGTGGTTCGTGAGCTCCTAGAACACTGGGACCCTGATCTTTCCATGCCCCGCAGATACGCAGATATCGTTGAGATGTGTGGCCTGAGGTCTTCAGTACTCTTGGGGCTTCGGATGGCCTGGTTCTCCCGGATCCATCTCTGCCTGCTTCTGGCTCCTAGGTGGCGTTATTGCAGCTTCCCACCCACATTTCATGTCAAAGACACAAACATACTCCATCTTTCTCTCTCACACACACACACGTGTGTATCTCACACACACACACACACACACCACAAGAAGATCGTTAATTTATGTACCTGTGCGCTTTTTAATTTTTGCACTCCAGGTGTTGAATGGCAGTGGGCGATACGCTGTGTATTTCTATTTACTGTGCCCCCCCCCCCCCTTTTCTCCTGTCTGTCCTACCTTAGACATTGTCACAGAATATACTACATATAATGTAATAACTGAAATAACAAATTGAAATGAGGAAATAAGCAGATAAACCCTGAACAAGAGGAGCCTATAGAGAACTTATAGAAAACATCTCGGAAAAGCGAAATGTGTTTGCCACACTAGTGCAATCAGATCATAAATTTGATTGCAAGTGCTTCCAGACAGGAAAAGACATTAAAAAAAAAAGAAAAGAAAAAAGAAATGTTCTATTTTCCTGCACATTTGAGTGTAGATGTTCAACACAAGGCATATTACTGAGATGCCTTTGTTTTAAATATAGAAATCTATGCTAATAGGCATTAATATCACAAATAATAAATGCTGAATGGGATTATTTCTGTACCCTGTGGTGAGCTTTCTGCCAGCCTGGAGGAGCTATGTGGGTACTACTTTCTTTTAGTGGGTTGTGTCGCCATCTTGTGGACATCTCTATGTCAACTCTTAAGTAGCTTTCAAATGTTTTTTTCCACCTCTGCACAAGACAAAAGAAATGTCAAAGTAATATTATATTATCTTTAAATATATGAACATGACATTATGTTGCCTGGACTACATAGTACACACTAATGGATTAAAGCTCCACTCACTCTTAAGACCAACAAGTGAAAAGGGAGTGAGACACCACCATGGAGAGATACTAAATTTTTAATTTATTTTATCAACTTTTCTTCTGACGATGCTGTCTGTGTTGAGAGCTCAATGGATCTGCGTTCGACTACTCCGCCCAGGCTGCACTGTCGAGCGCAGATCCAC